TGCATTGTACTTTTCAAAGGAGGTTTGCCTATAGGATGGGGGCATAGGAAATTGGGAGACTCAATCCGGAATTTGGTAGACTCAATCCTATGATCCAAAGGATTCCATAGAAAAAAATCCTTAGATTTGAATCCTCCAAAATTCCTTCAAAGAGGCCCTAACTGAATTATTCATTGGGCTGGGTGCAGCCACCGGGTAAGTAGAGTGGGTCTGTTTAACTCGCAGGCCCGTTTAACCTAACCACACCTTTCTTTCGGCCCAGCAAGCCCAGGTTATCCACCCGGTCACGACGTATACTGTATACAAGCCCGAAACCTAAGCAGGCACACCAAAGGACAAGAGCGCAAAACCCCACCACGGACCCTCGCCGTCGCTGTCTCCGTCTCCCATCTCGCCGGCGCTAGCTAGGGCACCGGTCGCCCTCCCCCTCCGACGATGTCGACGCCCTCTGATCCAGCGGCGTCCGCCCAGCCCCCCTCCACCGCGGCCACCTCCAGCAGCGGCCTCACCTTCAAGCTCCACCCCCTCGTCATCGTGAACGTCTCCGACCACTACACCCGCGTCAAGGCCCAGGCCTCCTTCCCCGCCGAGGCCCCGTCGCCGGGCAAGGCGCAGGCCTCCTGCTCCGCCGAAGGCTCCCCGCCCCCCGCGGAGCCGCCGAGAGTCTTCGGGTGCGTGATCGGGGTGCAGCGCGGCCGGACGGTCGAGATCTTCAACAGCTTCGAGCTCGTCCTCGACCCCGTCACCGGCACGCTCGAGCGCGCCTTCCTGGAGAAGAAGCTCGAGCTCTGTAAGCCGACGGCGAATCTCGTGTGTTTCTAGGGTTTGGTGACGCGTGTAGGAATATAATTTGGGCTTTGTGCGTGGTCTGATTGGTCCATGCTGCAATTGTGCCTCTTGCAGATAAGAAGGTGTTCCCTGAGTTCTATGTGTTGGGCTGGTACTCTACTGTGAGCGATGTGCAGGATACTGACATCCTAATCCACAAGGCTGTGAGTACTTACAATCCTTTTTTCAAGTTCCTAATCCTTGAGACGGACAATGTGCTTGTTTTTTGCTATTGTTACAAAAAAAGTGCAATTGTGATTTGGTGTGATGTACTACTCTTGATCGTGGTTGGTTTTTTATTGCCGTGTGGAAAGAGGAGGTGGAAGAGGAGCAGAGAACATGATTTCTTGCATTCCTGTGCATAGAACGTTTTTGTTTTTTATTTGTTTAAAAGTGATTTACTGTTCGTCATTGCATTCCATCCATGTATGTATTTGTAAAATTGAGAAAATAAGTTGCGTAGTGCCTATGGAAGGCTGGGAGTTTTCTTGTTGTAGTAGCGTTATAATGGGTGGTAGAACAAATGATAGGTAATTATTGGTACCCATAAACCAAGACCCCGTTTTGCTTCTGATGAGGTTCAGTTTTGCTGTAGGATAAACTTAGACAATTTTGTTTTAGTCTTTTGTGCAGACTGCATATTACATCTGTTCTCAATCAAGCCTATACAACTGTTGCAAACTCTTAAGTCCACATGTATGGACCAGCATTACCTTTGAAACCAAATCATAACACTAGATGCAAAGTATTTTTCCAACATGTTTTATATCAAAATGGTGCACGCCCTATGTCATGGCTCGCAGCAACATACATTACTGCTACTCTCAAACTCTGGTACATTGCTGAGTTTTGTTCAACTGCATCACCAAATAAATAGAGACCATACTGGAAACCTGCTTTTGAGAGGAATATTGCTTTTCAATATGGATATGATCTGCTGTATGTAATATTCATTCGCCTCCATGTAACTTTGTTTTTCTATGATCCAGCTGATGGACATTAATGAAAGCCCTGTTTATCTTCTCTTGAATCCTGCAATCAACCACTCCCAGAAGGATCTACCTGTGACAATTTATGAGAGTGGTAGGTTAATCTGATCTACAATTTGTATTATCATTCAAGTGGTGCTATTGGCATGTCTTCTTTTTGGTTCTGCATAATTGGTTTATTTATGATGTGAACCAACCTTGGTTCATGTTGAAACAACTAACGTGCATAGGGTGGCAGATGGAATGGCTTCAAGGGGATTAGGTTTTTGGAAGGGGAAGATAGGAACATGTTGAAATGAGACTAATGAGTGGACAGTTGAATGGCTTCAAGGGGATTAGGGTTTTGGAAGAGAATTTACAGCTCTCCTGCTAACATAAAATAGAAATGAGACTAACGAGAGGACCAAGAGAGGTTTGGGAAATACCAAATATATGAGAGAAATATCTACCCAACCTCCCAAGACTTGAAAACTTGGAAGCAAACTCAACTCATCTTCTATCTCTTTGCTAATTCTCTGGAGGTACAGATGCCTACATCGGAAAGGCTCAACGAAATTACCTATGATACAACTCTTATTCCTTTCTTGACTGCACCCCTGTCAATCAACCCAATGCCTAACACACTATTATTAACATCATGCTTTATATTTCCTAATAATTGTCCTGGATAACGAGTTCTGGTAGTTATTGCTGGTGTTGGTTTCCTTGAGCCATACACCTGCCAAGCCATGAGTGCCATTTGCTGCTGTTGTGTGCACAAACCTGACTTACCCATGTCCACAATAGTATAACTTCATGGTTTTTGTTTATTTTTGGAAACAGGGCCATTGCCCTTGCTCAATTGATCATGAATCATGTTTTTTATGTTCGTTGTATTGAGCTTTGCTTTAGGGTGCACATCAACTATGCATGTAGTGTTTTTTAATATAAATAACAGTTTGTAGCCATCACTATTATAGTGTGGGTAGCCCTTAAGTTTCTCGCTTCTGATATTTCTGTAACTAGTTTGGAGTTTTTCATTGCACTAATGCTCTTATCCTGTTCACTTTCCTGTCTTTGCTGCTAATTCTTTGTTTTTCACCTTTGTAAAATTCAAGAGTTGCATGTTATCGATGGGGGCCCCCAGCTCATCTTTGTCAAATCAAATTACACAATTGAGGTTGGTTTTTTTCCTTCTCTAATCTCTTTGGGTTGGTCTAGCTCTGAATTTATTTTTTTAGTTCTGATTTATTTTTATTAACACTTATTCACATTTACATTTGATTTAGACTGTAGAAGCAGAGAGGATATCTGTAGATCATGTTGCCCATCTGAAACCATCTGATGGTGGCTCTGCAGCAACTCAATGTAAGGATCCTTTTGTTCAACATCAATTTTAGCATCTTGGATAAGGTACATTTTTGGTCAAAATACTAACAGACATGTTTGAGCAGTGGCTGCTCATCTTACAGGAATACACAGTGCCATCAAGATGCTCAATAGCAGGGTCCGTGTTATCCAGCAATACCTTGGTGCCATGCAAAAGGGTTTGTCTTTTGCCACTGATCTGATGTTCTAAATCTTTCTCCAAAATGTGGCTGTGTTTTATCCACGTGCTTTAAACATAGTCCCTCAATATTTATTCGCCAGAATTTGCAGCGTCTTCGAACTATTTGTGTAAGTACTTATCAATCACTAAGCCTCTTCCATCACCGCAGGTGATATTCCACTGGATAATTCACTCCTTAGGCAAGTCTCAAGCCTCGTAAGAAGACTACCAGCTATGGAATCGGAGAAATTCCAAGATGACTTCTTGACGGTAGGTTAACCTCCATTTTGTTGTGTTATTTAACTGATTAACTTCACCTTGCATCTTATGATACCATGATATTCTCTTTGTTTCCAGGAATACAATGATACCCTCCTCATGACTTACCTTGCAATGTTCACGAACTGTTCAAGGTATGCCTCGGCTTCTTTCATTAAACCTTCTGATAAGAAAGAATGTCGCATATAAAACAGCAGAGTAGAATAAATGGATTTACATCTACATTGAAGTTGTGTGTCAGATGCTCCTTTTGTGGACATCGTATTCCTCTGTATCCTCAAATCATATAATTTGATGTGCTTGCACCGATGTTGATGTTGGTATTGATGGAGCTCTTTGGTGACTTGCAGCACAATGAACGAGTTGGTCGAGAAGTTTAACACCACCTATGAGAGATCCCCTGCCAGGAGAGGAGGCCGAGGCGCTTTCATGTAGATGGGTCCTGCTGCCGCTGAGGTTTTGATGCTGGTTATCCGTGCTGAGATTTTGAAAATAGTTATCATATCTAGACGCAATTTTTGCGTGCTATCAGTTAGGTGCTCTATGTTCCCGCAGTATCCGAGACTTTTCAATCTTCTTATCCCCTCTGGGTTGGATCAGTGACAAGACGTGCCTGGGATGATTGATTATCCTCTTGTCCCGAAGTTGACATGTAAAGTTCGGCTTAATAGATGTTGCTCAAGTTAACTCGTATCTCGGTCTTGTCCTGCCTTCTTTAAATTGGTTATATGCTTGCAGAATCTTGAAATCCTCAAACTGTGTCACTATTATTTGTTTTATTGAGGTATTTGGTACCGCATGTCCATGTATACACATGGCCCACCACTGCTTGAAACAAGGGTTTGAGTCCAATCCATCTTGGTTGGAGACATACGGAATTCGTTTCTTGGTAGTGTTCACAGCTCGCTAAGCATCCGATTAAGTTTTGCTCTCGTGGCTTAATCATCAACTGGGTGTGTCATCATCACGCAGAGAAGGGTCGTGGCACTGGTCGGTACAGTGCATGTGGCGCCGCCAGTCCTTCAGGGTGGGATGACAATTGAGAACGTTTTTTATAGCAAATTATATTGTCGTGAGGATGCCATTTTTTTTTTACGAAAAACAGTACTGTAGCGGACCATGCTCGGCCAATGCAAATTACCATCAAAATTGTTCGCAAATGCCTCGCTTAGTAAAATTGCCATGCTTGCCCAACACAACTTACCATCAAAACAAAATCATTCGCAAATGCCATCCCTACTAGCGAAGTCATATCATTGGCACCGCTTCTTTGGTGTGCTGTGATGAACTGATGAGCGAGATTTTAACGGTTGTTTTCTTGTGGCTCGTAACAGCCTAATCCGTTGCTGACCGTATTCAGCTTTCCTCGCCCAAAAAATATAAAATAGAATTTGAAAGCTGCATTTATCTAAACTCCTAGACAGATCCATCCGTTCATTACAATACAACATGAGAAAACCAAAGTCATAAGATACCAGTACAACATGTGAGAAAACCAAAGTCATATAAGATACCAGTACAACATGTGAGAAAACCAAAGTCAAAAGAATTACAACATGTGAAAACCAAACGGTCCAAAGAATTGTGTGTTACATAATGGAACAGAGCATTACAACACCAACAGGAATGTCACAAAAGAATGTTACATAATGCATATTACAGGGTGCGAACATCAGGATGGCACTGGTTCCTGCAACCCATCTCGCAGTTACTGCCACATATCGTCAGCCCTGGCTTCCGCTCCAGGATCTCTGCAACGGTCGGACTGCCCCCTCGACGCTCCAGCACGTTCTTCCCAACGCCGAGCCACCGCAGGCCTCGGAACAGCGGCGGGTCAACCAGCGGATCAAACAGCCTCAGGAAGTTGCGGGACAGCCTGGTACAGTAGGAGAGATCGAGCATTCTCAGGGTGCTTTTGCCAGAGCCATGCCGGTCCAAACCTAGAGTCTCGAGGCATGGATCGGTGATGAGGACGCAGTTTCGGAGGCACAGGCTGCTTATCCGCTCGCAGTTCTTGGCGATCAATGTGACGGCTCTACCCGATATCCTTGGTACGTTCCCAATGTCAAACGCGACCAAGGTTTTGTTGATGATGCCACTCCCACACAGCAATGAGGCTATGCCGTTGTTGGTGATCCTTCTGCAACTCCTCAAGCACAAGGAAGATATTGGGCAGCTCCCGTTACCGAGTGCTGACAGACCTGCATCGGTGATGTCAGCTCCGGCAAGGTCCAATAGTGTTAACTTGGAAAGCTGTGAGATGGAGGACAGGCCAGAGTCTGCAATGCTCCTGCAACCCGACAGATCAAGAACCTCCAAGTTGGTGCAGGATGAGAGAGATATTGCTGTCTCGCTGGTTAAGAGACCACAGGATAGCAATCTCACTTCCGTGATCTTTGTTGCTGCCTCATCAAGATCGAGGCACGTCAAGTCTGACAAACATGAGGCAGTACTGACCTCGAATTTCCTCAGGTCCTTGCAAGAGTGGAGAAGGGCTGCATATCCAGCATCTCTCACTTTAGAGAACCCACCAAGCCTAATGGTTTGGAGTTGCTTGCATCCTTCAGCAAGCATCAGTAGCCCAAAGTCGTTTACCCTTCTGAAGGTGGAAGAACAACCCTGCTTACCGCGTGTAAGAGATAAATGTGTCAAGTTCTGGCATAAGCCAAGCGCTTGCAGCCCAATATTGGTCAGATCATTGTCCAGATCTGCTTCACTTCCAGGGTTGTCTTCTAGGCAGAGCTCAAGTAAGTTTGAGAGACTTCTTGTGATGAAGGTAACAAGTTCATCCGTTATTATGTCCAGAACTAAAGACAGTGATTCTAGACTGTCACTGAAGGGTGTCTTCGCAGATGGGCTTATGGGAAAGAGTTTCTTTGCCTGCCAATTGGCCACAGGCATTAGCAATAGTACCTTGATGGTACTAGGTATAACAGGCACCAAAGAATCAAAATCAACAGAGCCTGGAGCTAGGAGAGGAAATTTCAGCGAAAGATTCTGCATTGATAGATTTGAAAAGACAGATTAGGCACAGGCACACAGCAACCAAATGAACTTATTCCAACAGCTAATTACTCAAAATCCATGGCTAATATTACTTAACCTTTTATATATATGCTTTAGTATTCAAAGGTTGTTTTTCTACTTAAACTGTACTCAAAAGCTACTAATCTAAAAAATCCAAACATGCAATATCGTGTTCATATGTGACAAAGACACCTCACCTCCAAGTAATCACATCCTTTGAACATGTGTGCTATGGATTTACGGCAGATCACAAAATGTTCACTGCCATTCAAGTTTGCCATCTCCAGTGTAATTGATCTGAATATAAATACAGTATGCTCAGACTTCCCACAATTTGGGTCAAGTTGAAAACAAATCATTTTTTAGAGAACAGAAACATAACCAATTACTATGCCAGGTACAAATCAAATATCCCCAATGCCCATCCCACCTGGACAACAATAAACCTTACAATGCAATAATACTAGGCAACAGTTCGTAGCGCCTAATCCAATTTCTCAAGAAATATACTGTTCTGAAATTAGCCTCCATGGCTTAGTGCCAATGCTACTTCCACAACTAATACCATGGCCGCTTGGTTCCACTAGTCACAGTACCAGCTCATGCAGCTTAGATATATGTAGGCCGATATATCAGTTTTGGGGCTCTACCGATGTAAACATAATATATCATTTTCACATATCATCCGATGTGGACCGAAATATTGACCAATATTGCCGATATCTGACGCGATGTGCCCATTGATATAGACCGGTAGGTAAGTCAATGAACACAATTATTTATCACAAACCAGTGATTTGTTAAATGTATTTACAACTTCATCGTACTAGCAAAGTCATGCGTAATGTTTTTTTTAAGGTTAGTCATGCGTAATGTTTGTAGAAACACATATATAAGTTATTGTTTTTAATCTTAGAGTGAGGATTTTGTGAATATGTCTTAAATAGTTTCTTAATTAACAAGTTCATAAACTAGGAATCTAAATTTATTATGCTAGATCATTAACACCATACATTTTGTTTTCGCTGTAAAAATATTTTTGAGGAATATTGAAAAAAATTCCATATATATTTTCTTCGATATATCTACATATCGTCCGATATACGACATCCGATATGTTCAAGCCCAACCGATACAAACCCAATATATGATATGTTGAACCTTGATTGACACTGCTATTTGTTGACGAGGTTCAGCCAAAACCTACATCCCATGGGATCCCCTGATACTATCTGATATCCCAACAAACTCAATACCCACGAGAGACTCTGGTCAGAGACCACTCCCTCCGTGAACCGCGCCGGAGTCCATCTTGATTCTCTCAGTTACACACAACACTGCCCCTTGTACTTATTGAGGCCCCGGCTACTACGTGTTCTGACTCAAAATATGTTTTTTTAACCATATCAGCTAATACCACCACAAGTCCAACTGTAATCTAACCCGTAGCATAAGCAAACACGCAATTGCTGAAGAGGCATACCTCAAATTGGTGCACCTCTCGCCAATCACCACAAAGAGGTATGGGGAGAACGACGAGCACTTGAGCAGCGAGAGCTCGCGGAGGCTCTCCTTCGCAATAGCAGCGACCGCGGAGTCATTGAGTAGGCTGCAATTGATGGCGAGGCTGCGGAGCCTTCCATTACCGGCAAGAATCCTATTCGCGATAGCATTCGTCGGCGTAAACGCCTGCAACAGCGACCAAACCCCAGATTAAAGGGAGACCGTCTCTGGCGGTGGGCGGGGAGCGCGAGAGAGGGGGGAGCGACGAGGCTCACCGAGAGGTCTAGGGATGCGACGGAGGATAAGGCGGCACCGGCGGCGCCTCGGAGGGCGCGGCAGGATGCGGCGGCGGAGCAGGCGGCCTCTAGACCCACCCGGCCAACGACCTCCACCAGGAGCGCTTCGGGGAGGATGTCGACCAGGCCTCCTCCTCCGCTGCCGGAGGCCTCGCCGCCGCCCTGGCCGTCGCCGGCGGCGCGGGGCTTCTTCTCCATAGCTCCTTGCTTTCAGACCTAGAGTCAGATGCGCGGAGACCGTCCCTGGATATACCACCACGGCTCGCGGGCCCTCTGTGTTGGTATGACATGTGGGCCCTCTGCCGTCGTTCTATTTGGTTTTATTCTGCTACTGTTTTTTTTTTGAAACTGGAACACGTTGCATTCCAAAATTACGGTGGACCGACCAAATCGGCGGCCACAGCACGGGTTACATCGATGGGGAACTCCGAAAGCCAAATAGACTGGCCATTTGGTATGTTCCGATTGACAGAGGCAGCCAGCACATGCGCTGGCTTGTTACACTCTCTTGGCTGAAAAACTACAGAAGCAACTATGAACTCTTGTTGCATCTGGAACTTAGCTTCTCTAAACAGGACACCAAGGGGGTTGCGGTCTAACATCAAGAATGCAGTTGCTTGTTGCAACGGAAGGCAATCGGTCTGGAAAACCACCCTCCGCATTCCAACATGTACAACAACCTCGATTGCCTTAAGCAATGCAGCAGCTTCCGCGTGCATGGCATCCTGCATATGTTGTAAACCTCCTGCCGCAGCTAAAATCATCTCACCATCAGAGTCTCGGGCAATGGCACCCCAACTCGCTGACCCTGTATCCACATGAAATGACGCGTTGAAGTTGATCTTAACATAGTCAGCAGACGGGGGTTCCAGCGGGCTGACGGCGTAGGCGAGCCCTGGTTCTTCTTCCCGAGGAATTCAGTCCATTCAGCCACATTATGACGCCCCTTTGCACCGAAAGCTTCCGGCGTTAACCTCTGTTTTTTATGATTAGCTTTATTCCTCTCAGACCACCATGACCACATGAGGCTGGCCACTCTCAGTAGCAGATCATCAGGAAGTTTAAAGATAACCTCCAACATGGCTTGGGGGGATTGCATAGCCAGGAGATCCGTTCTGATATGATCAAGACCACATTCCCTCCACACCTTCTTCACTTCCTTGCATCGTAAGAATAGATGCCCTCCGTCCTCCGCAAACCGGCCACATAGGATGCAGGATGTATCAAGCTCAACTCCTAATTGTTCAACGTTGCGGAATAGCGGGTGACTATTCTGGGCCAGGCGCCACAGAAAATGATGCACACGTGTTGGGCATCGAAGTCGCCATAGTTTGTTCCAAAATCTTGCCGTATACTGACTTCCAGCAATATTCTCGCCTCTTTGCCTGGTACTCCGCTTCAGCTTCAGGTCCGTATACACCCGGTATGCAGAACGAACGGAAAATATACCTCTCTTATCAAAGTGCCAAGCCACAAAATCCTCATATTGGTCGCAGATGGGAATAGCCAGGACTGTACGTGCATCGGCCGGCGTGAAGGTTTGTGAGACTAGCTGTTGATCCCATCGGTTTGTCAATGGGTCAATGAGTTCAGACACTCTCGTTAGCAAATGACCGCTCTGCAAAGTACTGGGCCTCCTCGTATCATTAGACGGTAACCACGGGTCGGACCATATGTGAATGTTCTCCCCCGATCCAACCCTCCAAATCATCCCGGCCTTGACAACCTCCAGACCCTGTAAGATACTACGCCACACATAACTCATCCCAGGTTTAGTCGAAGCATCCAGAATATCGCAATCAGGGAAGTACTTTGCCTTCAAAATTTGTGCACAGAGGGACTCCGGAGCCTGGATGAGTCGCCACACTTGACGAGCAAGCATGGCAATATTGAACGTATGCAAGTCCCTGAAGCCGAGCCCACCTTGGTCCTTCGGTAAGCACATCCTCTCCCAACTAATCCAATGATGCTTATGTTCCTCCTCCTGGTTAGACCACCAAAATTTGCACACCATGGCACTAATACTCTCGCAAAGCTCTTTAGTAGGATCAAAACAAGCCATTGCGTAAGTGGGGACAGCTTGAATGACGGTTTTTATTAGGATCTCTTTTGCAGCTTTCGAAAGCAACTTGATCTTCCATCCCTTTAGGATTTCCCATATTTTGTCGCGCAAGTACTCAAAGCACTTCTGGCGGGAACGACCCACATAGCTCGGCAGACCCAAGTATTTGCCATGCAAGCTTTCAGACCGAAGCCCTAAAGCATTTAGCAGAACATGTTTTTTGGCCGAGGAAGTATTCTTACTGAAAAGGACAGCTGATTTGTCTCGATTAATGACTTGGCCTGAACCCCGCTCATACACATGCAGGATGTGATTCACAGCCGCAATGCTTTCCGGGGTTGCCTCCAATAGTAACATCGAATCATCAGCAAAAAACAGGTGGCTAATGGGGGTGCCTGAGGCGCCAGCTGAATCCCCTTAATCTGCCCAGCCTGCTTTGCATGGTGCAACAAAGCTGACAGCCCCTCAATACAGATCAAGAATAAGTAGGGGGAGATGGGCTCGCCCTGACGGAGGCCCCGCTCCGGGATGACTAGGTCAGTGCAGGTTCCATTTATTTTGAAACTGAAACGGACCGATCTGATACATGTACTTATTAGCTGCACGAACTGTTCAGCGAATCCCAATTTCATCATCACCTTCTCCAGAAAGTTCCATTCAACGCGGTCATATGCTTTGCTCATATCCAGTTTCAACGCAGCATAAGCCGTGCTTCACGTCCGCTTCCTTTTCAAAAAATGCGTCATCTCATAGGCCAAAATAGTATTATCTGAGATTAATCGTCCCGACACAAAGGCACTCCGGTTTGGTGAAATAATCTCACCCAAAATGCACCTTAGCCGGTTTGCCAGGACTTTAGACACAAGCTTGTACACGACGTTGCAAAGGCTAATAGGGCGAAGATCCTTCAGATGTTCAGGGTTTTGAACCTTTGGGATAAGAACCACAAGGGTATCGTTCCATCCCTCCGGCATACTGCCGCCTCGCAACACATGCAACACCTCCCGTGTCACCTCTTCTCCGACAAGATGCCAATAGTGCTTATAGAAAATTGCAGGTAGTCCATCCATACCCGGCGCTTTGAGATCACCGATATCATCCAGGGCCGCTTTCACTTCTTCCTTGGTAAACTCTGCCAACAATTGTGCATTCATTTGGTCGGTTACCTTTGGGGCTATATGGTTCATTATATCACTTGTATTGTTTCCTGCCACAGAGGTAAAAAGAGAAGAAAAATAGTTAGTGACGAGCTCTTTCATCCCCTCCTCACTCTCCACAACCTCCCCATTATCCTTCCTCAATCTATGAATGGAATTCTTCCTCTTTCTCTCGGAGGCAAAGGCTTGAAAAAATTTAGTGTTACGGTCCCCATTGATAAGCCAGTTGACATGGGCCCGTTGCCTCCAGACCAAATCTTCCTGCTCCTCAAGGCGATCCAACTTAAAACTGATAGTTTGCTCCCTCCTCACCTGCCTATCAGAAATAGGCTCCCTCCTAATAGCCTCCAACTCACTCCTCAGCTTCCTGATCCTCTTCCCTAGATCGCCCAAAACATCCCGGCTCCATGTATTGAGAGCCTTCACCACTCCTTTCAACTTCTCCCAAGCATCCTCCCCCCTCACCCCTTCCCAAGCTTCCTTCACAATATCATCACACTTCTCTTCCAACAGCCACCGAGCCTCAAACCGCAACAGGCGGTCACCACCCCCACAGCGCCTCGGTCCCGGTCTACCATCAAGAGAAAGTGTGATGGGCCAATGGTCCGACTTCCTTGGATCACCATTAACCACTTTATATGCCGGGAAACGGGCACACCACTCCAGTGTAGCTACAACCCGGTCTAGTCTTTCACGAATATAGCCATCAACACGGTAGTTTTTATTCCTCCACGTAAAAACATCTCCCTCGAAGCCGAGATCATGCAAGTTACAAAAATCCAGAGCATCTCAAATTTTTTGCATACATCTATGGGAGCGGGAAACCCCCTCTTGCTTCTCATGGTTATAAAGGATCTCATTGAAGTTGCCCATACACACCCACGGAAGCTGAACTTGATGGTGGAGCGTCCTTAGTAGCCGCCAAGTCTCAACCTTCTTGTCCACGTGTGATTCACCGTACACACCAGTCAACCGCCATTTGAAACCATCTTTCTCCTCCACAATAGCATCAATATGCATTCTGCCCATCCACCTTATTGTCACATTTATTCCTCTCCTCCAAAACAGTGCTAATCCACCGCTCTTTCCTTTATTATCTTGAGTCACCATATGATGTAAACCTAACATATCCCTGAACCTGCCCATCCTCTCTTTATTCATCTTCGTTTCTGATAAAAACAAAATATCGGGGTCCTCCCTCTTCTGGATATCCAGAAGACCACGAACTGCCGGCCTATTCCCCAATCCCCGGCAATTCCATGCTATAATTTTCATTGGGTCCCGCAGGGCTGTCCTGGCAGCCCCGCTATCTGGTCAGAGTAAACAGTCTCCCCACTCCCATTGTTGTGCCCCTCCTTCTGCTTCAATCTCTTTGTAGTCTCATCTCCATCCTCTTCAAGAATTTCAGCTGCCCTCTTAATGCCAGATATATTCTCAAAATTTTGTGCAGGCAGAACCCTTTCCTGCCCCTACCCTTCTTTTTGTAGGTGCCAACATACTTGCCTAGTTGTGCATCTGAATTCTCCTTCTCCCCGGCTGCTACATCCTGCTGCAAATGACGTACCGGGAAAGGGACTACGTCGATCTGCATGGAAGGATCGGTCTGCATGGCCTCGCAGTTCGTGCCCCGGCCATCATGTGCACTCTGTGTCCCCTCCACTGGATCACTTTGTCTTTGAATATTTTCTTCTCGGGAATTGTTCCTCCCCTCCTCTCCTTGATTCTCACTTTGTTTATACTGATTTGATGGCTCGAACAGTATTTGTTTTGCTACTCCAACACCACTGCATGTTCCCAGAACTTCTGCACTCGGTAACTTTAAGGGGCTCGTCACCTTCTGTCCTTTCTCTTCCTCCTGCACTGCACCACCACCGCTCCTTGAGTTTGTCCGCCACGATGGCGCGTCACTGTCTGACGATGACCGCCCTCACCAAGCACCCTGGCTTCTACTACCTGCAAATCTTCCATTTCGACCCGCT